TTTATAAAGACAATATAAAGACAATGTTTCATTTTCCATTTCAACTTATCAGTAATATCAACGGTTGAAACATTAGAAAAAAATAAACCACACGGAGAATAAATGAGGCTTATAAAATGTGAAGTTGTCTGTCTGAGGCTCATATTGGTATTGTGAGGAATTTCTTCTCAGAAGTTGAAATTTTTAATTTAGCAAGACGTGGGAAGAAGAAGAAGAAGAGAAGAAAAGAAAAGAAGAAGAAGAAGAAGAAGAACAACAACAACATTTACTTGACCTTTCCTTTACCATTACCTTCCTTCGTTGACATGACAAAGTGTTCTGCTATTTTTCCAAGTATTATTTGCGGCAACGTTTTCATACGCATTATTTTACTTTTTATATACAATTTGGAGTAAATTGTTAATAATTTAGTAGAAAAAGCTCATATGTAAAGGATCGTATATGAGTTTTTTCGTATCTGATAAAAAACGAATATAACATGAAGTGAACATGTTGGAGTTTCTCTGAATGACATTTCTATCACGTGATTTTGAAATGCCAGAGAATACCGAAAGAAAAAAGCAGTAGATAAACCCTGTCTTGCGAGCCTATACAATAAAATCTTTATCATGTCTTGCTTTTACAAACACATGTAGCTTTTGATCACTATACCTTTCTTGGGAGCATATATATTTCAACTTTTACCTATCTTTGCATAACAGGAAGTAGAATTGTTTACATAGACAATTCCATTAATTAGTGTTTACCTATTTATCTCCCCTAAATCCTCTACCTAGCCGCCGTTACGTTCCACTATTTCGACGGATCATTTTATATCTGCGACCAAACAGGCAATACCGTAATTTTTGGTCCCTGTTTATATGAAACTTGTGTAAAATACAACTATTTACAATGGTTATATTTTTTTTCATTGAAAATAAGCGACTTCGTGTATATGTATTCTAGGCTTAATGAAGATCCATCCGCTCTTCCAGGCACTGAGAGCACGGACCCCGGACATGACTGAGAGCACGGACCCCGGACATGACATCTAAGTGACATCATGTGATGTATGGTTCTGTTATACATAGAGTACGAGTAGATCAAGCTTCGGAAACAATTCCTTCAACATTCTATCACAAGTGTCCAAGAAACCAACTTAAATATTCTCCAAAAGGAAATCAACGTGCGATATAAAATGTTGATTTTCATCGTAAATAAATATAAGCGTTAAGTCTGTTCAGTCATTTGTCTGCGAAGACCTCATAAAGAGTCATTTGTCGAAGGCATAATCGGAAAACATCAGTTAATGCAAGCATAAATCATGGGTGATATAACTCTGCCACGGATAAATCATTAAAATCGCCTTTAAAGATTCATCAGAACAGTGCTTAAGCATTTTTTGTGAGCTGAAATATAGTGAAGATTCTTATTATAATGCAATATGATTGATAAGAGTTGCGTGTTGCATGATGTGGGATAGCGCATCATGAAAACTGCAGAAGGTATCCGAGTTATAACGCGACCAGTTAAAGTACGCGAAATTCACGTCATTCGTGTCGAACACGTGGCCGTTTCCGTAATTATCTTCATAGAGTTATTCACTGTTATTGAACAATCGGTAAAAACAATAACTGCACCTCTTAGTATACAGTAAAACCACATTGTCCTTGATATTAAAAAAGGCAAAATCTTTGTACCGAAAAATTAGTGAAGTGATTGATATTTAAGAAATTCCGTAAGCTTCTTCACATAAAAGAATTCCAAGGAAACTCCTGTTATTCAAAGCTATAAACCATACCATATCCAGTACATTTGCTTACTAACGTTCTTTTGACGCCATACTTCATTTGCTATATTATTCACAATTCATTTATGTATAAGGTCTAATGAATTTTCTAAGAAATGATAAATAAAATACCAAATAGCTCTATATGAACTCAGTGTAAAATTAATTCAAATTTTTACAAAGTAGTTACATGTATACTTCATTATATTAAAACAATGGGAGATACGCCCTTCTGAAATTATTACGCAAACCTTCTTTGTTACGTTCTAATAGTTTGATTTACACATCACATTTTCTTTGTATAATATGATGAATAATTAATTCGACCCGCGATTAATTACTGATATAAAAGTGAATAAAGAATTTATTAGTTTCTGTTTATTCTTCATCCCCTTTCATTTATTAAATGTCAAAATACATTATGTATAATGTTAAAGTGAAAAATCCTATAAATCACATATTACCAGCAAAGGTATTTCTTTAAGCATATGCCGGATCAACAAAGACCCGCTATTCCCTTTGGTACGGATTTTAGTCTGGATACTGACGGAGACTGCCATTTTCCTAACTCTTTTATTCTTCCTGTTTATTTCACATAATAACGTGTTGAGAGATCATATCTCCGGCTAATAATGACTCCAACACCGATAGTGTCTCTTAGATGAAAGTAGTATCCCATAATTTAGTATATTAGAATTATCATTTTATGATGATACCCCCGATCATATCAGCTAGAATACGATGAATTATTTATTCAAGTTCTAGATTGGTGATATTGTATTATTAGTTTCTATAGAGTACACATGCAATCCAACTTCGTTATGCCATATCTAGATCTTTCTGAGAGAGCTTAATTCTTTTTGATGCATAGGAGAGTATATAATGACAATTTATTCTATTTGATATCCGAAATTACTGCTTAATTAAATTTACTTTTCCTCTTCTCCGTGGACTTTCATCTCAGTGGTTGAGTGGAGTGTGGATGGACGACTAATTATGTTATGACAGTCTGATACGACGTATACCAGCTTGTACAAACAATACACACACAACTTGCTTAATTATGATTCCAAGATAAGAAAATTGTAGAAGAATTATGGGTCACGTTCAAGCAAACTGCCAAATAAGTCTGGGCGATACAGGTTGGAAATGAATGGGCAATATGAAGCATGATATCAAATATCGTCTGCTATTTGGCGTCAGACGTAATAAGTCTTTTTTCCTGATATTCAAATTTTCATTAGAATTTTGACACAAATATTAATGTCTTTTTTTCTCTCTCTCCCTCTAAGACAAAATGTTCTGTATCAAGATATGCGGCATGCTAATTGAATGTTCTAGCTTGATCAAAGTCAGGGTCTAAAAAGGTGTTGCCAGTTCCAGAGAAGTTAACTTTTAAAAAATGATTAATAATTTTCAAAGGGTTACATTGTACGTGAACATGGGTCAATCTCTAAACTGTTGCTGCTTATTATAATATGATTTATTTCAAAGTTTAAGATGTAAAGCTAGCGAAATAAACCATAGAAGAAAACAAACAACAAACACACAAACATAGAAAAAACATTCTTTAAACAAAATATGAATCCACCTTTTTACTAAGTATATCGACAATATCTCATTTTTTAAGTTGTTAAACGCCATTTTTTTCTAATTCAAGTACTTTGGCATCCTTGTAATTGTTACTAAGAAACCAACACATATTCTACCTATTATAATCAAGCACAGCTTTATTCCTTTACTAACTTCATGTAAATCATTTGGCACCTGCCTAGCCAGGCAATAGTTTGATATCAACCTTAATATGTCTATCGCTATAACCAGGGGTCGTGAACTGGAATCACGATCCTGTATCTTCAAATGACGCAATGACTGGTAAGGGGCTCGAAAGTGTTAAAAACAAGCACTAAATCGGGCTAAAATATCATTAACAACCCCCCCCCCCAAAAAAAAAAAACAACAAAAAAACAACAACAAACAAACAAACAAAAAAAAACAAAAAAAAAAACAACAAGAACAAAACAAAAAATACAGTAATAATCCAAAACAAATCATACAAAAACAGCGGAAGTTATTTTGGATACCTATGACTTTTACTGTTTATACTGTTTTTTGAACAGACTGTAAAGTTCACAGGTTTTCAAGAGCTGTGTTTATTTACTATATCTTCTCAGACGCATTCAACAGTTAGCCATAATTACTTCCATTTTACACCCGACCAATTAAACTGATCTCATTTATAATGCTACTATAAACATATAGATATATGGTATATTTGGCAATATTCTCCCTATTTTTATAGCTATCCAATCTCTTTTCTCCGGCAAATAATTCTGGCAATATCTCCCTTTACCACATTAATTTTCCATTCCGTGATTTTACAACAACGGTTGCTAATTTCATTTTGATTATATGCCATTTATGGTGTTTTCTGGAATTATGACTCTATGTTATATGCAACAGGCATCCGTTTCGACAATTTTGCCGTGAATTTTCTCAGATTATTACTTGTTTATGGGTATAAAACGCCAATGAAAATCTGGCGGCCCCAATCAAGTGTCTATGATGCTCGATTCAAAGAGAGGTCGAAGAATGGATTATCACAATCACTGATTAATAACGCAATCTCGTGATTTTTATCTTTGATGTGAATCATGGTGGAAATACATTTTTATTACAACAGTAAAATAATAAAACAGTCCTCTACGGGAATAAGATATCTGATTAACTTTTCCCCTCTTATCAAAAAAATGTCTCTGAACCAAAGTAATAGGCGAGGAAAAATTTCTTTACGATTTGATTACAGTATTATAGATTTTTATGAAATAAGTGGATTTAAGATTACAATTTCAATTCAGACTTTTGTACTCTAATATGCTGAAATTTAGAAATTTTGAGAACACACACGCGAAATTAGAGAAAATCTAAATCTTAAACTTTAAACTGTTGAAACTAAATGAGAATAGGACATGAAAAGAGACTGTAAAGATATAACTGAATTAGAGAACTTTGTTTAAGTTAGACATCACCTTTACGGTAATGCATTGTAAAATATTGCCACGCTGATAATAACATGAAAATAAAATTCTAAGTTTTGTCTAAATTTAAAATACTGTATTTATTATTACAGAAAGGAATCTTGGTTTATATAGAATTTATTTTAGTTTGATTGTTTAGCAAGCTATCAGTTTATAGACACTCTTTCGAATCCGTTTCAGGAACAATCCAGTACTGAGCGATGAGTGTAAAGTGTGTTGCTCAAGGAACTCTGGCAGGGTTTGAACCCGTGGGGCTAGAGATCTTAGAATATTTCTAGTCCGACTTGTTATCCACTCGGCCATGCCGCCACTTTAAACGGAATCTTGCAATTTTTTTATCTTAATTAATTCAAGGTAAACACACATCGGTATTTAAATCAAGGAACTTTGCTTGTTTTTCCCTGTTTCAAGAATTACTTGTGAGCTAGCTATATTTGTTTAATTTGCACTTACATATTTACTCCTAATCATCTAATGCTAAAGACCAATATTATGATATTTTATATTTAAAATGGTGGCTATCTAAGCTTTAAATTTCGATGGACCAAAATCAATATTATTTAAATATCAATATGAACAGTAAGTGATGTTGTGTTAAATATTACTGGTGGTTGTTTGTGTGATGTAATTTGTCTTAGTCTCTACTTGCATTAGACAGAGAGGTCAGTTCGAGTATATACTAATTTGATTTACTTACTTATAGTAACTGGATGTTAAAAATCTGTAGTAACTAATTCATGCAATGTGCAAAGTGGGGAAAGTACATCAAAAACGAAAGAGTCGAGAGTACACAGTAAGAATAAATGAGTACACCATAGGAAAAGATGAGTACGCCATAGGAAAGGATGAGTACGCCATAGGAAAAGATGAGTACGCCATAGGAAAAGATGAGAGTACGTTACTCGACAAGACGGAACCACACCTGACAAAACTTGAAAGAGTGCCACGCAAACTCGTGTCTAACGGAAAGGAGAAAATTCGTCTTGACACAAGATATTGCATTGCATTGTATTGTATTTATTGTTGTATATATTGTATTGGCTGTTTGTATTTGTTTTATATTGAATTGTATTATGTACTGGTTAAGTATTGACCACTGGTATTAACATTGTATTGGCTATTGTTATTTATATTATATTGGCCATTGGAATTTATATATTGGCCATTGGAATTTATATTATATTGGCCATTGGAAATTATATTGTATTGGCCATTGGAATGTATGTTCAGTTGTATTGGTCATTGCAATCTATATTTTATTGGCCTTTGGTATTTATATTGTATTGATTATTGGAGTTTATATTGTATTGGCCTGCATTGTATTGGCCATAGAAATTTATATTGTATTGGCCATTGGTATTTATAGTGTATTGGCCATAGAAATTTATATTGTATTGGCCATTGGTATTTATAGTGTATTGGCCATTGAAATTTATATTGTATTGGCCATTGGTATTTATAGTGTATTGGCCATAGGAATTTATATTGTATTGGCCATTGGTATTTATAGTGTATTGGCCATTGAAATTTATATTGTATTGGCCATTGGTATTTATAGTGTATTGGCCATTGAAATTTATATTGTATTGGCCATTGGTATTAATAGTGTTTTGGACATTGAAATTTATATTGTATTGGCCATTGGTATTTATAGTGTATTGGCCATTGGTATTTATAGTGTATTGGCCATTGGAATTTATATTGTATTGGCCATTGAAATTTATATTGTATTGGCCATTGGTATTTATAGTGTATTGGCCATTGAAATTTATATTGTATTGGCCATTGGTATTTATAGCGTATTGGCCATTGAAATTCATATTGTATTTACCATTGGTATTTATAGTGTATTGGCCATTGAAATTTATATTGTATTGGCCATTGGTATTTATAGTGTATTGGCCATTGAAATTTATATTGTATTGGCCATTGGTATTTATAGTGTATTGGCCATTGAAATTTATATTGTATTGGCCATTGGTATTCATAGTGTATTGGCCATTGGTATTTATAGTGTATTGACCATTGAAATTTATATTGTATTGGCCATTGGTATTAATAGTGTATTGGCCATAGAAATTTATATTGTATTGGCCATTGGTATTTATAGTGTATTGGCCATTGAAATTTATATTGTATTGGCCATTGGTATTTATAGTGTATTGGCCATTGAAATTTATATTGTATTGGCCATTGGTATTTATAGTGTATTGGCCATTGGAATTTATATTGTATTAGCCTTTGGTATTTATATTGTATTGACCACATTTATTTACATTGTATTTGCCATTGGTAAGTATATTGTATAGTCCATTGAATTTATATTGTATAAGCCATTAGTATTTTTATTGTATTGCCCATTGGTATTTTGGTAAAAATGTTTTAGTAATTGTTATGATAGGACAAATAGATAAAAAACCAACACAAATTGAGATATCAATACATTTTTCGCTTTATAAGCTTCGTCAGTTGATACATAAAGGAAATGACGATTTTGTAGGAAGCTATCAGCTTATACACACTCTTTCGAATCCGTTTCTGGAACTAACCAGTACTGAGCGACGAGAGTGTATGATAACTTTCAAGCCTGTTGACAATAGGCAAAGCTGACATTGTTTTATGTTTTACAGTAGTTAAAGATTATGCAATATGTAATTGTTATGCAATAGTTTATTGTTTAATAAAACTTTAGTACTTTACTTTATAAAGTTAAATGTTATGCAATATTCTTAAGTAATGTAATATTTAGCAGTTGTGCAACAGTTAAATGTTTTGTACTGTTTTAGTTATTTACAAAACATGAAGTTTAATGTTATGATATATTCTAAAGAAATGTAACATTTAGCTGTTTTGCAATAGTTAAATGTTTTGTACTACTTTAGTTATTTACAATACATTTAGTTTAATTTTATGCAATAGTTCAATGTAATGTAATGTTTAGAAGCAATGTAATAGTTAAAATGTAACGCAAAAGTATAATGTTATATTATATTTCAAGGGTATGTAATATCTAAATGCTATATACATACCTACCGTTATATCATAGTTTATAGTTATACAATGCCTTTAAGATATTTTATGCTCAAATTTGAAATTTGAAAAAAAAAAAATAAAAAAAAAATGCTACACAGTCTCTTTGTAAAATATAAAATAAACATGCTCCAATTTCACACAAAGCAGATTTGTCAGTAAGTCAGTAAGAGATTTCATAGATTTCAATACATTTCTGCCATAAAATTATTTTACTCGAAGATGAGCATAGTATATCTTTATCGTAAATCATGTTTGACAGTTGTCAATATTTTAAATTCTAAAATTGTCACGATCCAGTGTTATGATAAATATTACGCAACAGTCGCAGTAAACAAAGTTCTTGTGGCATGCAATATTTCATTACTACATATTTTCTTTTTTTTTCTGATTTTATATGTTGAACATTGAAACATCATGTACCATACATGATGTTTTAAACAGATCATTAGATTATAATTTGTTTAGATAACACTGAACAAAAAAAGAAACTTCTGGATTAGGAGTGTTTGAAGACAAAATACTGATTTTTTTTTATTTTGATTTTCTGTTCCATATTTTTTTTTCATTTTTTTTTGTTATAATAGATAAAAAAGATAATCAGTCATACGCTCAATAATTTGTTTGAAGTTTTATGTATTTGGTTTCTAACACATGATGACGATTCATAACTTCCGTTAAATAACAGAACTAACTATCTAGCTGATCACAAAGGCACGGATGAAAAAATGCTAAAAGCTTAATGTTTCTTTTTCCAGTCGCGTGTTTACAACATTTCGCAAAAACATTAAGAATTTTTATTCCCTTTGACGCCCTTAAGGCTATCTGAAAATGGCTGGCCGCGATTTTATGTATTTCCCATTGTTTTAAAATAAATGTTTCAACCTGATTCATCTACGAATCATGTAATTTGTAGTTATCATAAATTTTAAATATGCTCACCAGTACGTTGACATAAAACTTGATTGATTTTTAGTTATATCAGAGTTTGTCATGAAAGTTACTACTTTCCCATTGTTATATGATCGATTATAATGAAAGATCGATAAACGTGTAAAAAATGTCCATCAACTTTGATCTTAACACATCAAATATATTTCAACATGTTTCGTGGCTACATCTTCTCTTTTTTTTTTTTTAGATAATACGTGACTGTTTAAATTAATTTTATAAGACTTAAAACAAAAAAAGACAAAATGCAAAATTATGTTTACATGCCATGTAAGGGAGGTAACAAAAATATATCCTTGAATAACGGATGTCTATTGTTGTTTCCCTTACTTAAAATTCACGCTAAATCATAACAGTTAAATTGACTATTCAAGCACGAAATTTTGTCTTGATTTGAATTTACATACTTATTGCAAATTAGAGAAATAAAATTTGACCAACTATTAAATATTATCATACAGTTCTGAATTATTTTGTCGTGTTTGTTAGTTATTTTACACGTCAGAAAAAATTTCTTAAGCGTCTAGTTTGACACATTTTTTAAATGGAATGTTATACTTGCACTTAGTTCATTGATATGTGCCAGATATTGAGTTTAGCCATTAAAAAAATCTGTTATAATTATTCTAGTAAGGATTTATTATATACAGCGGTTACTTCCCTTGCAATATTTTTTCTCATATCTAAATAAAGGGAGATAACTGATTAAAATGTGTTGTTCCCGGAAAAGTAAGATACAGCTTAAAGATCATGTCATGGTTGCAATTTTCCCTTCTACTATGATCAATATTGGTATTTTGCATAAGAAAAATGAGCGTATAACATTTTATTTAAAAAAGTATTTTTGCACTTTATTACAGATCAGATAACTGCATTGTAATACCGTCTACGATTGGCAGAAACAAGTGCAGGGAAAACCGTAAGAGTCAATGTGACATAAGGTGATTGGACGAAAATGTGATGTTTATTAATATCAAAAATATTTTATATATCAACACTACATCGTTTTTTGAAAAACATGGAATATTTGAAGCGCGTGTAGAGGCAATTTTCATTTGCAGAATTAGGTTTTAAAAAGTGTATGTTAGTCCAGTGATCAGCATAGAATTTCACTGTTATGATGTAATGCTGTTTGAAGGCATTTTACGAAAAGAAATTGGTGTTCAACTCTTAATAACGAAATGAAACTTAATTGTCAGGCATATAAATGTTAAAGTAAAAACACATCTTTATCATAAATACTTTATGGTATGAATTTGAGCTATAGTATTTCTTGCAAAAGTAAGTCTATGAGAAAATTAATAGCATATAGTTTGACCCAA